AAAACCGCGGGAAAAGATACAACAGAACGAGGTAATTCAGTTCTAAAATCACCATGGTGCCGAGACCGGTGATGATACGAAGTTATAACATCAAAGACTTTCGTGATGACCTTCCGTCGCAGTCATTGAAGAGAGCTGCACATTTTGAAGAAGTTTTGCAGTTAAAAGAGTAATAGTCTTTCAATTAGATAATCAACATCTTCATGCCATTCAATTGCTCCCCAATGAGAACTTTCAGATTACATCTTCATCAAGTTATCATAGAAGCATGAATGTAATAAGAGCCTTCCCAGTTGTCTCAAAATAGAAACTGTTGTTCTGCCGGATGTCGAGGGATGCATGAAACTGTTGTTTGTCCATCTGAGAATGACCGTGTAGTACACTTTCATTATGGAATTGGTTGTTGACCATCAAAACAGTATAAACTTCTACATTTGTTTTGATTTATTGATGAGTAAATTGACCGAAATGTTCACAAAAGTACTGAGGTTTTCACAAACCAAATTATTCTCTCGACATATATATGATTTAATTGCCTGAATGGCATCTTCTGAACGTTTGTAGATAACACATCATTCATACTTTTCGAAATTTGTAAACAAGATGTAGTGCTCCATGTGCTTTATATGCATTCATAATTTCATATATCCAGTAGTTCCAGCTAGTCCATCACAAATTTACATATATAAATAAGATGTGGTATGATTGCCAATGAGACAAGTATCCACAAAGTTCAAATAAAGTGGATGTAAGTAATTATAGGTAACAGTACGGCCTTCAATAATGAGAAAAACCCATACCCTATAGTCGGCTATAAAAGGCCCCGACATGAAAAATATGAAACAATTGTTTTTTTTCCATTGCTAAATCATGCAATGGCGTAACGTACAGATTTATTTGCTGGAACTCATTAAAATATTATTTTTTGCAACGAAAAGGTAATTGCTAGATATACTTACTGGAACTGTTATTAGATGATTAAAACTGTAAATTTTCTTCTTGACAACTTATTTGCACGTTTCGGCATTGACATTTATCAACAGGTTGTAGGCATTCCTTTGGGTACAAATGGCGCCCCTATCTGACTTATTCCTGTATCGTTATGAAATCAGTTTTATGGCAAATCTCAGAAAAGATCCGTCTTAGTTCCATTTAATTGATAAATTTATTAACACTTACCGTTACTTTTATGATATTTTTGCTCTAAGTAGTCAAGAATTCACTAATTACACTGCAGACAAGAGAAATGACTTTAAATATATTCAACATCTTTTGTCCTTTTCTAGATTGGGATATTTCCGTTTCACACGAGAAAATCAAAACAAAAAATTACAAGTGATGATTTTTCGTTTCCTATTTTGGTTGGTGATGTCAAATTGACCCCTTTTTACGGTGTGTTTATTTACCAACTCGTTCGCTATGCTCGTGTCTGAAGTGATGTCTTAGATTTCTATAAATGTAATCTATGTATAACTGCTGAATTAAAAAGTCAGATATTTCGTTACTATAAGTAACTTAAAACTTTTACTAAATTTTTTCCATAGATACAAAGATTTGATTTTGTAGTTTGGTTGTATCTAGAGGATACTTATCAAAAACGGGATTTCACATCCTGCTTTTTACGATAATACGTTTATAAAGCCCGTACATTTAGATACGATCCATGAAAAATCACTGATCCTCAATATAAACTTAATTCTAAAAGAATACCAATAAAAACCTTAGTAAGATCTTTGAATATTCAATTTGTTTTTATCGGTACTAATATTGATTTTGTTTTTGATATATTGAAACGTAATTAAATATGTATTGCTGTACATTATTAAAACTTATGGCCCTACATACTGTCGATATTATGTACTTATATTTTGGCATTGCACAATATAATGCTTTTCTCAGACTGGTTATGACGTTTTTACTAAATCCGTTGGATGTGTACCGAATGATAATAAAGTCTTGGCAAACATGATTTATTTATTATTAGCTGTAATTTGCTTTAAACTAGCTTTCAGTACCTGCGAGCTCTTTTAGATAGGCGCTTTGCGTTTTTTTTTGTTAGTTGTATTTTGTGCTTCTTACAGATCTGATGAGTCAAAAAATTTCCAACAGTTTGTACGTATGTTGTTCCACATGTGGAGCAGGATCTGATTACCCTTCCGGAGCACCTGAAATCACCCCAGTTTTTGGTTGGGTTCGTGTTGCTCAGTCTTTGGTTTTCTGTGTTGTATTTTGTGTACTGTTGTTTGTCTTTTTCTTAATTAGCCATGGCGTTGTCAGTTTATTTTCGACTTATGAGTTTGAATGTCCCTTTGGTAGCCTTCGCCTCTCGTGTAATGTTATACATGTACCCCTGTCCTGTTAGGGGAGGATTAAGTGCTCTCAAACATGTATAAAACCGCCACATTCTATATGTACCTGTACCAAGTCAGGAGCCTGTAATTCAGTGGTTGTCGTTGGTTTCAGTCCGTCATATTTGTTTTTCATTTATTGTTTTGTTATTAATTAGGCTGTTGGTTTTTGTCGTTTGAATTGATTCACACTTTGTCATGTCTGCGCATTTTATAGTTGTCTATACGGTATTGGTGTTGCTCATTATCGAAAGTCATACAGTGACCTACGCTCGCTTAAATCCGCTACATTAGGACAATGTATAGGATAATTGTCTTATTGACAGTCATGCCAAATCTTCTTATTTTATATATGTCCATCTTACTTTTGAAAAAGCTATGTTACACAATGAAGTAATTTAGGAGCTATTACGATAAAATATATTTTTTTTTTTTTTTTTTTTTTTTTTAAACATTTGGCATTTTAATAATAAAATTTAACTTTTTGATTTTAGCGTGAATTTACTTATCAAATAATTCTAAGCAACACGCATGTTTTCACCATTGAAAAATATAATAAACAGTAATATTATATGGTCAAAATTGTCAAAATATTCATTGCATTGCTTCAGACCAATTGAAACTACCATTGCTTTTAAAGTATATTTGTAAAGATATACACTGCCAAAAATAATGGAGAAGTTTTAAGACATGTTCTAAAACTATAAAAAAAAAGTGAATTGATATAAGTCCTACAAATCTAATTCACATGATTGAACAGCAACATGTAGTATACGTGAAAAACCAATTCTAACATCTCTACAAGAGAAGTAATATTCCGTGTTGCTTAAATTTCTGTTTTCAGTTAAACGTTTTGTGGACTGTTGTTTTTTTTGTTGTCTTATTTTTCTTCTCTTGACAATGGTATCGTCTGTCTTCTTCTTCTCTTGACAATGGTATCGTCTGTCTTCTTCTCTTGATAATGGTATCGTTTGTCTTTCTTCTACTTATAGTTTTGGATTGGACCTTAGAAACATCTTCTATCTTTGTTGAACATTTGCCAATGTCGATAACTGAAGTTTTAAATATGTTCTCTGTTAGGTAGAGTAATTGATGACGTTCATCTGAGAAAATCTTACAATGTGAAGTGCATGAACGCTTACCTGATATAGTACCTTAGGACTTACCAAGTAAAGCACTTAAAATCGTACATAATGATCTACACTTGAAGGTATAACGAAGTCTGAACACTATTCTATGAAGTACATGCCTGCATCTATGTGAAGGAAAACTCTAACGTGTTGTTAATGGAGCAACTAGAACTGAACGCGTACATGATGGAGCAACTAGAACTGAACGCGTACATGATGGAGCAACTTGAACTGAACGCGGACTTTGGCGTAGCTAAATTGATTGAACGAACAGTTAGTATCACAATGTTTTAAATAGGCGATATATTAAACAAAACAAATATTCTGTTATTAAGAAAATATGCTTAGAAAAAAAGCTGTTTTGAACTGTTGCTTAGAAAACAGATGTTTTGAACTGTTGCTTACAAAAAAAATAAAGTAGCTGGCAATATAAAGCTACAACGACTGAACGTCGTTTTCCGTTACGATGTGTCATTATGCCAAGTTGTACAATAGTTCGTGACATGACAAAGGTAACTGTGAAGTGTTGTTTGGTACCATCCTCCACATAAAAACTTGATTGTTTGACATCTATTCAAGTAGATAATGTTCTGTATGTATGGTAGAAGATTTGCGAAAACTGACTGAATAAAAAAATGCACATGTTTGTTAGTTATGCTTTGTAAAACTTGGAGAAGTGAAAAGTTTGTTGTAATCAATTGCAACTGAAATTACTTTTCCTTTACTTATTGTACTTCTTTACAAGTTTTTCTATTGGTAATTTAACTTTTTGCAACAATCATTAAGAATCTATTTTTCAGACACGTATTGGAGAACAATCCATTTAAATATGTTCGACGTTAACATCGAACTTTGCATGATACTTTTTTCGTTCCATTTTACCACAGAATTGCTAAGGTTTCATGAAAATGTTTCTTTTCATCTTTGATATATAAAATACATTGAGTATAAGTTGAAGTTATCTAATGTGCATCCTGTAGTTTTGCCAAGTGGAACATCTGCCACAAGCTTTTGAACAGGTACGTATAACGTATTTATAGATATAATATGGCTGTCAGCGTCTTGAACCCAGACACAACACACGTTATCATATATTACATTACATAATTTGACCTGGAAAATATAGACGGCACTCTAACCATGCCCTTGAATGTTCGTCTGAAGTGATTTCTCCTGACAGGTAACTATCAAGTAAACACTAAAACTTTCATTTTATTTGATCAGTTATTAATTTATGATTAACCTCTTTTTCAATTGAATTATTTTACTACATATTTTTTTCCCAAACGAGGTATTAAATTGCGCATGCCATTATAATTGAATAAAAAATAGGACGAAGAATTCTCTGCGTTATCAATTAAGTGATCTGTGTAATTGTAGACAATCAGATAGTATAAATACAAATTTGACGTTTCACTTCTTGCCTACTAGAAAGTACATACGAGGACATCAATATAACCATTTTCTGTTGTATTGATTGGTTGGTGTTTGCTTTACGCCTCCTCAGCACTAAAAGGCTATATCACGGTGATTTTTCTGTTGTACACTTTATTGTTAAAACATATACATTTTGATTAATAATTCACCAGTTTCCCTTCACCTCACCATCATGCCGATCTAAACTGAAATTATCAAAAATATATAGACAAAAACCATATTGGAGCAACCCCTCATATATTGACATAATTTGAATGTTTTTTCTTCTTACAGTTTTGCCTTTTGCAATCCAGGAGTTCGACGGTTCCAACAAGCATTTGCCACAGTTATAGTCCGTGACAAGTAATAGAATAAATCAGTGCAATCAAGAGCCTCTACGGTGTTCACAAAATAGATTATAAAGGACGGATGGCAACGTCACTACCCCCTCCAAAACTTTGGTTCATGGGAATGATAATTAGAAGCTGAAATAAAGCGAAAGCAGAATTTGATAAAGGTCACTATACTTCAAGTACACATGAGAGCAAAATCATCTCTACCAAAACCACACAATTCTATGATAGAAACAAAATGGGTTCATAAACAAGTGCGCCTGATAGGTTTATGTATCCTCATACGGTATTTTCAGATAACAATATCATTCCATCGTCGTGTTTTTTAACAGTGTTGACATCTTTTTACGCCAAAGAATATGTAACTTTTTTACGATGGTAATATAACCACACGAAAATGTTATGCAGAACAATAGTCATTAGCATTTGAGCTTCCATTTACTGGAAAGGATAGCTTAGACAGTTAATTGACTCTTTTCTTTAGGTCCTTTGGCTTTGTTTTTCGAAACATGGTCTGTTTACTCTTTCTTTGCTTACCAAACTAATGATTCTGAACATTCCTACTAGTTAATCCAGAAGACCGCTTTGTTTGCAAAAAAAATCTGATTTCATCTTCTGTCATATGTAGTGGTTCCTTTCTCCTTTTTTATGCTTGAAAGATGATAAAGTTTTCTAAATTTTACTTTAGTTATTCAACTTAGAGTATATATAGGTTATTTCCAATGTCAATACCAACCGTTTAATTAAATGTGACATACTGGAGCTTTTATTGTCAAATCTAGAAGCCATATGTCCAAATTATATAGCTATAGGGAATACACAAGTCTAAATTAAAAAAAAACCCGATTACTTCTATTCTCGATAATTCAAATCAAAGGTCAAAATTGCTTTTAAGTATTTTAAGAATTGTAATGCTTTCAGAATGGTTCAATTCTACTTTAAAAAGGAATGAACATGCACGTCACTAGTTTATATCAGTAAGAAGCTATAGGTGATACATTTAGTCTAACTTATATTTATTTTGTCCTGTTTCTTCTAGCATTCGATCTATTTGTTCTTGTATGAACGTATCCCCTATTTTGTCCTGTTCCTTCTAGCATTCGATTATATTCGTTCTTGTATGAACTTATCCCTTATTTTGTCCTGTTCCTTCTAGCATTCGATCTATTTGTTCTTGTATGACATTTTCCCATATTGTGTCCTGTTCCTTCTAGCATTCGATCTATTCGTTCTTGTATGAACTTGTCCCCTATTTTGTCCTGTTTCTTCTAGCATTCGATCTATTCGTTCTTGTATGAGATATCCCCTGTTTTGTCCTGTTCCTTCTAGCATTCGATCTATTTGTTCTTGTATGAACGTATCCCCTATTTTGTCCTGTTCCTTCTAGCATTCGATCTATTCGTTCTTGTATGAACTTATCCCTTATTCTGTCCTGTTCCTTCTAGCATTCGATCTATTTGTTCTTGTATGAACGTATCCCCTATTTTGTCCTGTTCCTTCTAGCATTCGATATATTCGTTCTTGTATGAACTTATCCCTTATTTTGTCCTGTTCCTTCTAGCATTCGATTTATTTGTTCTTGTATGACATTTTCCCATATTGTGTCCTGTTCCTTCTAGCATTCGATCTATTCGTTCTTGTATGAACTTGTCCCCTATTTTGTCCTGTTCCTTCTAGCATTCGATCTATTTGTTCTTGTATGAACATATCCCCTATTTTGTCCTGTTCCTTCTAGCATTTGATTTATTCGTTCTTGTATGACCTTATCCCCTATTTTGTCCTGTTCCTTCTAGCATTCGATCTATTCGTTCTTGTATGACCTTATCCCCTATTTTGTCTCGTTCCTTCCAGCATTCAGTCTATTCGTGCTTGTATGACCTTAACACTCCCTTTCTTTCGTTCTAGTATGACCCTGTAATTATTTAATGGTGATATTATCCATAGTTCGTAATAAATAAACAGAATTGATTTAATTACCGTTTAATAGGTCAAAGTTGCCTGCATTTGCATACAGTGTAGACATGTATATCACTTCACATAACATTACGTAACTCGTAAAACCTTTACTTCAAAGAGACAAAGTTTGCACCATAATTTTCAGTGGAACGACAAGATATATATTTCAGCTTAACAATTTATGAGTTTTTCCGGATAAGAGTGACTGATCATTTACGAACTCGACTACTTTTCAAAATTAATAGCTACAGTGTAAATTAGTGAAATGGGGAGTTCAACAAAAACTTCAAATTGTTCATTGCTATTGTTCTAAATATTGACCATTAGCTTTATACAATTTTAATTTTGATTATATCCAAATTAGAACTTAAATTTTATGCAAGATTTTAAAGAGCTTTCAGTCACCGTATCTTTCATATGTACGCACGCAGTTACTTTGAAGTAAATCCTTTAAATAAGGAGATTTCTTGATGATTGCCAGTGCGACAACTTTCAATCAAAGACCAATGAACAAGGATGCTAACAACTACAGGTCACCGTCAACAATGAGCAAAAGCCATACCGTATAGTAAGCTATAAAAGGCAGATTCAGATTCAATAGTTTATTAGCGTCTCGTCACATACAACAACATAAAAAACAAGGAACGAAATAGTTAAAAAAAAAAAAACGAAAAAAAAGAACCACTTGATTTAAGCCAATAACAATATACGAAACACAATTACGCCAAACAGCAACCAACGAAAAACAGGATCTTTGAAAAGATGAAAGTGTGTTATGACTGTGTTATTAATTGCATTTAAACTGGAATTATATACCGATCTCAGCGCATGCATGTGAACATCACCATAAATCTTAATGAAAGGAGTATATTAAATATAATATATTTTTGACCAAAAATAAAACACTGGACACTTTTAATTTGCAAAACACTCATTTGCAAATCCGCCGCCGCCTCTCCTTAGAGCTACAGTGTCGTGTATATAACCAAAATGTGCGGAATTACATGGGATTCAATAAATTCATTGCTTTTCTGCTGTCATTATTATATATATTTTTTTATTTGATTTAGAAAAACATGGGATTTTCAATATCCCATGGGATAAGGCAAATCCCATGGGATTGACCATTATCCCATGGGATTTTGGTTAAATCCCATAGGATTTTTTTGGATCCCATGGGATAATTGTAGTCCCATGGGATATTTGTTGTCCCATGGGACAAAAAAAATCCCATGGGACTATAATTATCCCATGGGATTTTTAATATCCCATGGGACAAAATAAAATCCAATTAATCCTATGGGATTCAAATTATAAATATACAGTAATGTGTATGTTACAATGAATTTTGTTTGGTAGTAAATTGTTTTAAGATGAATCTTTTTAGTTGAATATCTTTTTTTCCTTGGAAATGTTAATGCAATCATATTGTTCTATAATTGTTCAAAAACTAAACTTTTAAACAACAAAGCAGATAATGTAAGTATCAATATATGTTTATTTATGAATTCTAGAATACTTTTTTGAAACACAATTTTTTCCCATTTGGAATCAATGAAAACTCTATTATTAGGCTTAACATACTAGTAGCTTTTTACATAAATCTAATTTTTTTTCTGGATATCCCTCCATCCAAAAAATTTATAGTTTCTTATCATCCAGCATTGTGTGATCTTAATGTATAGTCCACTTTTTGGCCATTCAGCACAGAACATTGTCATTATTGTGGTTTTAATATCTTTAGATATTTAATAGAACTTCGATTCATTGACTGAGTGATGAAAATAATAACTGATCTGACATTTGTCTTTGAATTTATTCTGGTCTTGTTTCTGTGTTTTCTCCTTTTATTCTAAGTGATGAATTTCAATCCTTCTGAAAAAGAACCAATAAAAATCCGAAGTTATGCATTATAAAAAATTGTTTGCATACATGTAGCAATAACATATGATTTTCAATAAAAATAGCTATGCGGTATGGATTTTACTGATTGTTGAAGGTTGTCCAGTGTCATCAGTTGCTAACCTCCTACATCCTTTGGTCTCTGATGGAGAGTTGTCAAATTAGCAATATACCACATCTTCCTATTCTAATATTATATAACAATCAATTTATGTATTCTTCTTTATAACATTTGGGTATTTTCCCCAGTTATATATATATATATATTATATAGATCAATGTTAAAACTTTAGGCAATTACAATAACATTCCATTTTTCACAAGAATTTGCAATATATTATACAAAACGCCAACAATAGAAACAGCACTTCTTTAAGCTTCTGAAGTTCTGAAAGAGTTCCACTTGTGTTTTATTTCAATGAGAAAATACCTTGAACTCTTTTGACATGTTGGAAATTATAACATTGATACAAAAAATTATATTGTTTTTTTTTTTCTTATTTTTGTGTTGTTCGGTTGCTGTCTCATTTTTATATATGGTTATACATATATCCTAAATCTTCTTTTTGTTAACACTTAATTATTAATAGTAAAAATGGGATATTTTTTATTTTGATAATCTCAAAACATTATTATTCTATCAAATAACTTATTTCCAAGTTCACAAAACACCAATGTGTCAGATATTAATTTTAAGACATGTATAAACATGATCAACAAGCAGTTGACAGGATGTCATGCAAAAATCTCACTAATATTAAACTTTCACAAAAACTCCATACTCAGCGAGTACTATTAAAGTTCTTAGTACAGGACAAATTCCTAGTACAGGACACCATGCCTGGCAAACACTAGCATGTGTCAATGTCAAGTCAATCATGTAATCAGGCTCAAAATCTTAGTTTGGCACAGAATTTAAAAGTTCACCACATAATGAACATGTGTATGAAATTCAACTTCATGGTAAGCTATGTACCTTAACCTAAAACTTTAACCTAAGAATGTACTATAATTTCACATTATGACATTTCTATGTTCAGTGATCCATAAAATCAGGGTAAAAACAGTAAATGTGGTGTATAATGTATAAACAAGAGTGCACACGCTGAAATGTTGCGCCTTCTTTACTAATCATTATATCATGTTGATAGTCCTAAATATAAAGCTTTACTACAACTATCACATAAACTCAACATGATCCAAGAAAATGAATTCAAGGTCATATAAACCCGACAAGAAATACATGTACACCTTACAATCATTCAATATACTAAATACAGTTGACCTATTGCTTATAGTTTCTAAGAAGCAGACTTAAACAAGAAAACTAAACATTGACCAATGAACCATGGAAATGAGGTGAAGGTCAGATGAACCATGCCAGGCAGACATGTACAGCTTACAATCCTTCCATACAACACATATAGTTGACCTATTGCTTATAGATTTAGAAAAACAGACCAAAACACAAAACTTTAACACTGAGCAATGAACCGTGAAAATGTCAAATAAAACCTGCGAGACTGACATGTACATCATAAAATGTTTCCATACACCAAATATAGTTGACCTATTGCATTTAGTAATAGAAAAAAAGACCAAAACTAAAAAAATTAACTTTGACTACTGAACAATTAAAATGAGGTCAAGGTCAGATGACACCTGCCAGCTAGACATGTACACCTTACAATCATTCCATACACCAAATATAGTAGACCCATTGCATACAGTATAAGAAAAACAGACCAAAACACAAAAACTTAACTATAACCACTGAACCATGAAAATGAGGTCAAGGTCAGATGACACCTGCCAGTTGGTCATGTACATCTTACAGTCCTTCCATACACCGAATATACTAGACCTATTGCTTATAGTATCTGAGATATGGACTTGACCACCAAAACTTAACCTTAAATATAAAAAAGAAGATGTGGTATGATTGCCAATGAGACAACTCTCCACAAGAGACCAAATGACACAGAAATTAACAACTATAGGTCACTGTACGGCCTTCAACAATGAGCAAAGCCCATACCGCACAGTCAGCTATAAAAGGCCCAGAAATGACAATGTAAAACAATTCAAACGAGAAAACTAACGGCCTATCATTATGTAACACATAAACAAACGACAACCACTGAATTACAGGCTCCTGACTTGGGACAGGCACATACATACAGAATGTGGCGGGGTTAAACATGTTAACGGGATCCCAACCCTCCTCCTAACCTGGGACAGTGGTGTAACAGTACACATAAGAACGAACTATAATAAAATGCTTGGCTGAGCGCAGCCTGATACGACCGCAGAGGTCGATCCCTGAACAGTAGGGGCAATTTGGACACAATATTCAAGCTTGATACTGTCTGAATTTGGATTGTGATCAAATTTTTGACATAATATAGGTTTCTGACACAAAATAAATGTGGTCAAAGATCTTAAAAATCTATTGCGCAATACTTTCATTTGAAGATTTCTTCTTGAAACTTTTCAAAAAATTTGAAATTTCAAAAATATTGGAAGAAAAAAAAATTGGGAAAAAAAATCCCACCCCTCCCCCCCTTGGAGTAATTACCCCCAAACTCAATCCAAGCTTTTCCTTTGAGGTATGGAACCTTGTAGTACAATTTTAGAGAGATCCATACACTTAAACACAAGTTATTGTCTAGAAACTAGAAAAATGCTTGTTTTTGGCCTGTTTTTGCCCCTAATTCCTAAACTGTTGGTACCATAACCCCCAAAACTAATCACAACTTTCCTTTTGTGGTATTGAATCTTCTTGTAAAATTTCATAGAGATCCATTCACTTAAACTAAAGTTATTGTCCGGAAACCAAATGTGTCTTCGGACGACGACGACGCAGACAACGACAACAACATCATAGCATTATACGAACCCAAAAAAAAATTTTGCGGTCGTATAAAAATCAGTTGAAAGAGGCTTAACTCATCAGATAGATAAAAATACTACAAATACAAGTGGACGTGGCCGGGTACTTGTACATCCAAACAACAAAAAGACACTAAGTATAGATCTGAGAGTACTGGCAGTTACTGACAGCTAGTTCAAAACCACTAACAACTAATAAAAAAAATCATGCATCTAAGACTGTTCTTGTTTACTGATCCATGAAATGAGGTCTAGGTCAAGTGAAAACTCTCTGACGAGCATGAGGACCTTGCAAGGTACGCACATACCAAATATAGTTATCCTATTACTCATAATAAGAGAGAAATTAACATTACAAAAAATCTGAACTTTTTTTTCAAGTAGTCACTGAACCATGAAAATGAGGTCAAGGACAATGGACATGTGACAGACAGAATTCGTATCATGAGGCATCTATATACAAAGTATGAAGCATCCAGGTCTTCCACCTTCTAAAATATAAAGCTTTTAGGAAGTTAGCTAATGCCACCGCCGGATCACTATCCCTATGTCGAGCTTTCTGCGACAAAAGTCGCAGGCTAGACAAAAATACATGAACATTTTAAAGTACTAAATTTTGAGTATATACATGTAAAACCACAAGTTACTAACTGAAGTTCATGGTGAACTGTAACCAAAAACTTTAAGTGAATACAATTTAGAGAAAGACAGATGAATGCACAAACACTATCAAAACAGAGCATAAAACTTACCGAACAAGATGTTTTACATTTATTCTTCAGAAGCAGGAAAATTGAAGTGTTTCTTTTCTTTCTCTGCCCTCCATGATATAAACTTCAAATTCATTCATGCAAAATATGAAAATCTGCAAAAGTAGGACCTTGTATCTCAGCTTATCCACATTTTGACTTTTGAACTGCATTGTTCTTTTCATCTTGCTGGCAACCTAAACATAAAAAAAATGATAAACACATAATTCTGGATAAACTTCGTGTATTTATTTTTGTTGGTACAAACAATTTTTTCAAACTTTAAACGAAAACATCATCATTAGAAAGGACGTCATACTAACCTCTGAAATATTTAAACAAACCAAAATTAATACTTGATTAAGATCTTGTCATAAATGTATAGCATGGATACCTCTTATTTTTGAAGACCATATGTCTATTGCATACTTATATTCCTTTGTACAAGAGTATGCATATTAATATTAAAGATTGATTCTGAGGACTTTAAAATCAAAGACGTAGTGCCATTATCCCCTGAATTCATTACACTATACAATGCCATAAGGCTACTCCAAGTTGTATGCCAATCTTTAACATGTTTAATTAGCATGATTAATTTAAGTTTCATAACTCCATGTGTACACTTTGAGAATCTTACAATACTTTTTATTCTGATTTTCAGAACTTATTGTGAGGTTTTTATTAATGCGACTGAGAGCTGTATTTCATTCTTATATCTAATACATATTTATGAGCTGAAGACTACCTCCGGGTGCATGACTTTCTCGCCGCGTTGAAGACCCGCAAGTGGCCTTCCGCTGTTGTCTGCTCTTTGGTCGGGTTGTTGTCTCTTTGACATATTCCCTATTTCCATTTTCAATTGTATGTATGCAGATTTTTCTTAAATCACAATAATCAATCACATTTTTGTCCATTATTCAAAATAAGCAAAAATTAATGCACACAAAAATTAACATTGTTAAAGCTTTTTTTTTAAATTCAAAACAGTTGCCCAAAACCATTAAATTCCTTGTTTGATTTATTTTATATTATTCAAAGCCTTTTATAGCTAGCTAGATGGTATAGCTTTTGCTCATTGTTGCATTTATATTGTTACCTATACCTAACTTGTGCATCATTTGGTCTCTGGTGGGGATAGGCCTACTGAAGAAGGTTCAACTTGGAATTTGCCGGATAATGAGTATTTATCCAAAAATGTAGAAGAAAGATATTCATAACCACAACCAAAATTATGCTGAAATTAATGTAAATTGTCTGTAACATGTTTCATTTTTATTAGTGAGGTACTGGTGACCTGACGAAATTTATAAACATGAACTTTTGAACTATAGGAGTTACCCTACTGGAGTTTGGATCTAGGTCCATTCGCCCTGATTCACATTCAACCTTAATTACTTGTTAGCCTGAAATAGTTAATATCTGTTTGCCCTGTGTCCATCCGCCCTGATTTTAAATTTTATTTTGTTATCTTGATGTATAATGTTTATTTTTGAATAGAGTATGGTAAAGTTTGTAGAAATTTTGCTCAATATTTATATTGTATTGCTACTACCAGATAATTTACATTATTTTCCTTTGATTTGTACTATAGAATACAGGTATAAAATTTTTAATATACTACAACTGAAGACGATTTTACAGTGGCGGATCCAGAAATTTTCATAAGTGATTGCCTAAGAGGGGACCGACTCCTGTCATGCTTCAGTGATTCCCTATATAATCAACCAAATTTTTTTCAAGAAAAGGGGGCCCCGAACTCCTGTCCCCCCCGCCTCTCCTTTAAAAAAACAACTGAAAACCATTTTAAACTGCATGTATTTATCTTAATTGAAAACAATTTCTTGAGTTTCTCATTTAGCGGATCCAGAACTTTTCATAAGGGAGGGCCGGCTCCAGTCATGCTTTAGTGATTCCCTAAATAATCAACCAAATTCCAAATTTTTCCAAAGAAAGGGGGGCCCGGGCCCCCAACCTCCCCCCCCCCCCCCTGGATCAGCCTATGATATATGTGTTTATATATCTCTCTGATATCCCATTTCAAATCAAATGTGTATTAATAAAACTTTACACTAGAAAAGTAAGGGATAGTTACTCATTTGGGAAACTTTCAAATTCACAGCATGCCGGTGCCCGTGTTTTCATCACCCTCGTTGTATTGCGGAATAAAGATTTAGGCAAATTGAGAAAAACATCATGTCTGTGGTTGAAAGTAGTGTGTGTGCATTAATTTTCTATACCTTCTTATTTAATATTTTTCCAATTTTGAGTACTGACGGCAAGTGTTGTAACGTATAGTGTACCAATGTCTTGAGACCAATGTGCTATTTACAAGTGCGATCGAGGAATGCAGGGGAAAGAAACTTATCAATTATGTTTATTCTTAAGACAAAAATGAGCCGCCGTAAAATGAACCGTGTCGAGGAGGTTACTGACACGTAATAGGGCAGAGACATATATACACATATGTGTATATATGTCTCTGTAATAGGGTTATCTCTCGAGAACATTAACTAGTACATTGATAATTTACTATGCAGTCAGTATCCCGAAAAAAAACGTATGGATGCAAAACGCTTCAGTAGTGGTTTCGGCTGACTACTAATACGTGCACTTTGTCTCAAAATATCCCGGCAGCGTTAAAGTTGAAGCCAGGATCTTGGGAGGGGGGTCTTCTTTTTCTGTGTTCTTTATTATTTTTTTTACCTTTTTTTTTACATACTTACACTTTTTGATCATTACTCTCTTTCCTCATATTTTAGCATTTCATTATTCTTTAATCTTTATTGTTTGCCCGTTATTCTTTATTCTGTTAACCCCCATCCATACCCTCTTATGTGGACTTAAGCTTTCGGTAGTTTATTTTATCCTATTTCTGTCTATGTGAATGTAAATACTTTATTTATCACAAAACAAAAACTTACTAAATATTTTTTTATGAAGTCCTCACCAGTTGCGGATCCAAAAAATGTCACAAGGAGGCACTAACTGTCATGCATAAAGAGGGGGCCCACTTCAGTGATTCCCTAAATAATCAACCATTTTTTTCCAAAAAAAGGGACGGGCCCCCATGTCCTCACCTTAATCCACCTCTACCCCTTCCCACTTCGTATCATTGAATTCAGATTCAAGATCTCTCTGATTAAAGTAAGTAAGTAAGTCACATTTGCTTATATCAGGTTTTTGAATTGAACTGGCGGATAGTTGTTTCATTACCAATCATACCACATCTCCTTATTTTTTATATATACGAAAGCTTTATTCATATTTTTAGGTGTATTGATGAATGTGTAAAGATGCAGCAATTGTGTAGATACATTTTAACATACAGCACAAGAGATGCAGATTATATAAAACTTATAAGTCGAAGACATACTGACAACGCCATGGCAAAAACTTAAAAACGACCAAATGACGTACAACAGTCTATAAAACTTAACTATAGCATACAAAACGCAAACATTTAAAACACATAAGAAGCACCCAGACAGTCAAATAGAAATTTAAAGAATAAATAATTTGTAAAGATTTTCAACTAGGCCTACAGCTATATTTTCTTATCATCTAACAGTAAACATGGGTTCTGGTACTATGTGATAAGTCATTTTTCATGCAGACCCAGTTTCATTGATACCTTGAACTTAAAGTGGTTTTATGCATATCAGCCCAGATTGTGTGTGTAATTTTATTAAACAATTCAACAATACACGTTCTAAACAGGTTAAATTCAATTTACAAATTTATAAATTCAGATCTACTGGCATTCAACACCTAATTACTTACTTGCTGTATATTGTCAATCCCTCAACATCGTGAATACGCCATGCGAGGTGTTGGCTATGTTTGATACAGGGTGGCGGCTTCGAAGCGTAGAAAAAAATCCAGGTAAATGAAAGTGTAAAATTTTGTTGTTGAAAATTTTAAGTACTAAATTCCTAAATTTGTACTTAACTCCGTTCTACGGGTAACATGGTTGTTTGATATGAAAATAGGATAAAAAGCATCCGGAAAAATTATCACATTATAAGTATTCGTAAATGGATATGAAAAAACTTAACAAGGAATAAGTATCGGTAAACGGACAGAAAGTCGCAGTTCAAAAGTTTAAATTAATTATTTTACAATTGTTTAAATATATGAGAGAAAGTTCTTAACGAATTGACTTTATTTATAGATGGTATTTAGTTGAGGAAATGATTAATTCGCTTTCAAATAGTTTTTTTTTATCATTAACTTATAAAAAGGAGACATTTTTGACAGCATGAAGCCAGTTAATTACCAAACCACTTTGGCAGATTGCTTTCTTAACAATCATTGTTCAATATTAATATTCAAAAATAAATAAGTCCGTTTCCTTTTAAAAATGTTTCAGAAAAATACTGAAACGTTTTTAAAATTAAGTTAATTCAAAGAAAAAAATATCCCAAAACTAAATCGTGACTCAAAATTTCCTAATGAAATTGTTAGATTCCAAACATTTAGGAGAAGATTGTATTTGTACTTTATGTAATGGTGGTGATATTGGAGACGCGATTCATTATATTATAGCAAAGATTTGTAAAAATCCTTGATTATAGAATGTTCGGCAATAGACGAAAGTAGACAAACCCTATTTAAACGGGGGTTTGATCTCCAAGGACCCCACATTTTACATCGAATAAGATCTATATATATTTTAACGTTTTCAAATGAAATAACTTGAATTGAAAATTTCCCGACTATGTGAAGATTTCTTATATTTCTAAATGGCTTCAATTATTACATACAAAACGAAAAAAATAACTTTTTCTTGTAAAAACAATATTCATGTATTATTATAATTTTTCCAAGGAAACGCTTTCTTTTTTTGTTTGTTTGCAAAGTTTACTTGTATGTGTTTATAACCATCACCAATCAGTCCTAATTATCAAAGATCAAACGACCTAATCAAAATGATGATTGGTATTGAATATGATCATCGGTTATGCATGACGTATCCCAAATAACTTCTTTAATGTTGGTTTGATTTTATCAAAACCAAAATTATAAGATCAATAAACAGCATGCGCCATGAGCGCATGATACGCCCGTCGTCTTGTGTGTGAATTTTTATGCAATAAGCATAAATAGTTTCTGACATACGGCGTGACATGCGAAAACCCCCCCCTTTTTTTTTTTACAAAAATCTCAATATCTCTAAAATAAAACAACGCTCACTAAAACCAGAAGTCCATTACTAGACGTAAAACATATATACATGTCCTGAGTGACTTTTTATGTCCTGTCTGCACTCAGGAGATCCTGAGCGGTTTTTAGACGTACCGTTAATTTATAGGCATATATTTGAAGCTGTTCTTAATTATGTATACATTATCTATAGGTATACATGTATCAGACAAAAAACTTTCCAAAGAACTTAGTTCTAGTTATCTTAGGTCCTAGTCACAGGCACTTGTCTCAGAAAAAAAATTTCCTATATACTTTTAATGTTATATTAAGGTATATAGGAAACAAAATTCTGAGACAAGTGCCTGTGGTCCTAGTGTGAAATAAATCCACTGGGAATTGGCCATTTTAAACACAACTATATACACGTTTTCTCAAGGGTTTGTACATGTAAAGTGAAATTATGTTTACTAAATGCGTAGTTACATAAGTTTATTTGCTACTTTTTTCTTCTTTATTTTATATAAATGATTTTTTTTTTATAATTTTAACATTTTTTTCTACGAAAAATTTGTAGTGTTGCAATAGGGAATGGACACAGATACTTAACTACATTTAACTAAAGAAATTTTGTGTAATGTCATCAATCTGTATTACACATAGACAGGATGTTCTCTAGATAACTATGGTATTTCTAATAAGTTATACACACCCCAGGGTACACGCACTGTCGTAATGGAAAATTACTGCATGCTTTAATTACCTGTAATCAGCCATGTAACAAATCAGTTGACTGACCATGTCATTACAGTTTAAAAAGTTTTTCCTCAGATCAAAACGGAATATTCATTTTAACTTTAAAATTTAAAACTTTAAAAGTATACTTTGACATAATTATGAAGTAAAAGAATTTAACAATTGACTAATCGGATTTTTCCAAAGATTAAGATACAATTATATTTATTATTCTGGGACTGACAGATATATCACAGGCACTTGTCTCAGAATTTTATTTCCTATATACCTTTATTAAAGTATATAGGATTTTTTTCTGAGACAAGTGCCTGTGAGACATATATACATGCATAAGTCGCAGACATATATAATTGTAAATCAAAATGATTTACCTAATTACTGGGAAATAATATAATGTTTCAGTTATGTTGATGTCACAAATACACATGAATTATTTGATGATGCATGCTGGAATTTCTTATCTAAACGCATGACGGTGACCACAGACATATATATATATATATACATTTACTGATTCTATAATTTCTTGAGAAAAAAAAAAATCAGGAGGGAAGTCAGAGGGAAGTGAAACAAACATTTTAAGCTTTTATTAAAAATTGTTGGGAAGACAATAAAATACGACACTGAGTTTTGAAAAAAAAGTTTATGATTGGTATTGGTTTTTTTTTAATAAAGATGCCCCCTTTTTAGCCACACCGACGAATGGAGAATTCCAAATAGGGTCACAAGGTCACATTTTAAAACTTTTTCAGTTGCCCAGTCTCAAAAAGCAATTTTGACTGGCATTGTTTTTAGTCGAATTATATTTTTGCAGGTCAGGTTGCAAAGTGGCAGGTCGGATTTGACTATGTTGACAACGGTCCTAAAAAATATCCGAAAAAAAACGTTGAATCAAACGATATGAACCTACGCAGTTTTATATTATAAGACTGACACACACCAGTGTGCTAACTGTGCTGGGTGAGGTGCTGTAACTTGATATACATGTATCATTAAGTTACAGTACTGTTAGGATTTGCCTACCTATTTGCCTGTTAGTATAGACTGTCCCTGGCTTGAAAGTATGGCCACGGTTCTCTGCTCAGCAACGAGTGCGTGATTAGCAAATCAAATATCTTGTAGCAGTAAAATACATCGGGGAAGGGGGGGGGGGGGGGGGGGGGGGGGTTGCACTTCAATATTTAATTGATAGGGGTGTCGCTGGGGTTCTGTTACCCCACCCTTTTCATATAATTTAGATCTTAAAAATGTATACCTTTTCATATAGTTGCGTGGGTAAAATTGTAACCTTTTCCCATATTGATTGGGTTTCGTGGGGTGTGTTGGAAAAGTGGAATATTTAAGGCTAAGATTCTGTGTGTAATGTTTACTTACGGCGAGACTTTCGGCTGTGAAAAAATGACAGGGCTTTTCATATACAAGTAATTGGAACTTTATCGACCTAATCATATATTTCTGATAGTTTTCCCCTGCACCTATTCCCATATTTTCAAGCAGGAAAAAGTGACCTATTCCAGCGGCACGTCCTATCATCTTGTATATATAGGAAGTGCCCCCCCCCCCTCCCCCCGAGTAAAATACACAAATGTATAATACCTTAATTCAGGAGCACAGTCTCTCTTTACCGTAGATAACTTCGAGATTAATATGTAAGTTTACTTTGCTAATCGATGTTCCTGTAATTCAGATTTATATTTATTTGTGAGACCCCCGTCACTATTTATATTCACTCAAAGAAAGGGGTTCTCCGTTACTGGGAAAATCTTATCTGATTCAGGATCAATTTATCGGTTACACTCCCCTATCACCAGTGATTCTTTGTTGTAAGCTGACATTCTGAAAAAGGTATACTGTGTACTATCAATTTGCACGATTAGTTACAGATGTCGACTCGGACTACTGCAAAAGACAATAATTCAGTTCACTGATTTAGATTGAATAGTGGTTCGGTTAATCCCCTCTTCCCCAAACAAGTAAGAATTAGGTTACATCTTTTGGTAGTCCAAATAATTATGACGTCTTGCAAGGCTATTTTAATTTTTTTTTCTATCTATCTATCTTCATATTTCCGCACTCAGTCACAACTTTGACTATTACGTGCCCAGAAAAAAGTTAAAATAGCCTTGCAAGACGTCATAATTATTTGGACTAATCTTTTGGCAAATATGGTCGTACCACAGGGGTTTGTTACAATTTACCGGGTTTTCTATCCTTACGAATCATGAAAAACTAACCAGGCCAGGTGATAAAAAATCTGTCTCCCCTTTTTATCCCACCAGAATATCAAAAGGTTGTCTCCTTACACCTACATGACAAAAATATATACAAATATGGTATCATGACAATGTGACGGCTCTTCAACAGAAACTAAAGACGTAGAAGTTAACAACTATATAGGTCACCGTACAGATTTCAACAATGGGCTTAAAAGGCAAAATGCTTAATAAGCTACAAAAGGCCAAAATAGATAGACAATATCTGACAAGGGTAGAAATGTCCAGAATGTTGAAAAAAAAAGGTAAGGTGACATGTCTCTCAGAGAACTAGTGTAAGAGATAAATTAGTCCTGGTAAAAATAATGAAAATTGTCTGGTCAGACAAATATAACTTGTATTAAAAGTCCATGGATACAGAATTTACTAGTATATTTAGTCCGATGTCAGTAATTTATGTCCCCAGACTAATTTTCCTAGTCCATGGCATCACTATTCCGAGGTAAAAATGTCCAGTTTTTCTAATACTGTATGCATCATGTCAAGTATATTTGGTGTATGAAAATTTTTAAGGATGTATGTTTGTCTGGCATGTTTTATTCAACCTTGACCTCATTTTTATGGTTCATTGCTCAATGTTATTTTTTTTGTTTGTTTTTTGGTCACTTTTTTCTATTTCCTTATTTTAAAATTAGCAATAGGTCAACTATATTTGGTGTATGGAATGATTGTAAGGTGCATATGTCTGACTGAGAAGTTTCATCTTACCTTGACTTTATTTTCATAGTACATTGGACAATGTTTAGTTTTTGTGGTTTGATCTATTTTTCGGATACTGTTAGCAATAAGGCCCTATATTTGGTGAATTGAATGATTGTAAGATGCACATGTCTGTCTGGCATGTTTTATATGACCTTGACCTCATTTTCATGGTTCATTGGTCAATGAAAAGTTTGCATTGTTTTGTCAGTTTATCATATGCTTTAAGCAACAGGTAAATTATATTTGGTGGATGTAACGATTGTAAGGTATGCATGTCTGTCTGGCAGATTCATATAACCATGACCGCATTTTATGGTTCTTTGGTCAATGCTAAGTTTTCTTGGTTTTTTCATTTTATCAGATATTATAAGCATATGTCTACTTGTTGGTGTATGGAATGACTGCAAGGTGTCATATAAAAATAACAAGATGTCTGTCTGCCAAGGTTAATATTGCTGTGACCTCATTTTCATAGAATATTAATAATATTAAACAGCAAAAATGATGAGCAAGACAAGATATACAAATGATCCAAAATTGTCAGTTGCCTACTAGTACTAATTATGTGATAGTAGTTATTGTCATTAAATGATAATGTTTACCCTTTTATGTGTAGGGCAAGGACATTAAAGATAAAGGGAAACTATAAACAAAAGAAATTATCAACAAAAATAGATTTACAGACGTCAACAAAGCCTAAATGGTAAGTCCACTTCTATAAAAGTTATTGCCCTTGAATAATGATTATTATGAAAATAAGATGTGGTATGATAAATAAGAAAACTATCCACCAGAGTTCAATTAAGTGGATGTAAGCAATGCAATTACTTATGAGAGGCCAATGATGACCTGTAAATAATGAGAAAACCCATACCCTATACATGATATAGTCATCTATAAAAGACACCACAAACAAAATTTGGAACAAAACATCAATTCAAACTTCAAATATACCAGACTAATTTATAAAAAAAAAACAAGTTATGAAAAAACAAATATGACGGACTTGAACCAACATCAACCACTGAACTATGTACAGGCTCCTGATTTTGGACAGGCAAAATACAGTAGGGTTGATATAAAAATAAGAAGCGGTATGATTGCCAATGAGACTTTTCTCCAATAGAGATCAAATGACATTAAATTTAACAAAATTAGTTCACTGTACAGCCTTCGACAATGAGCAAACCCTATACTGCATAGTAATCTATAAAAGGCCATGAAATAACAAATGTAAAACAATTCAAAAAGGGCATGGTGTCTATCCATGCTAAACATGCTTGGGGGAAACACCACAAAGGCGAAAGCTAAGTGCCTGATTTTTGCACAAAACAAAAAATAAAAAACAAATATGATATATAGCAACAATTGACAACCACTGAATAACAGGCCCCTGACTTGGGACAGCCACTTACAAAATGTGGCATGGTTTAACATGTTTGCTGGCGCCAAATCCTCCTCTAATTAAGGACAGTGGTGTAAGTGTCAGTTCATTTAAATATAAAAACTATAAAATCAGTTGAAAAGGGCTATTTTCTGCTCTTTGGTCAGGTTATTTTGATACATTCCCGTTTTCATTTTCAATTTTATTAACTCATTAGAATGCAACAAAGCAGAAAAACAGCTACCAAAAACACAGACCGGATGTGGCTGGAAATTTATTCTTTCCCTTTAACAAAAAAGACTCAACATACAGATCTATTAGTACTGACAGTTACTGAAAGCTAATTCAAAGTAAATATCAACTAATAAAATAAACATTTTGTGAGCACCCAACCCACCCCTAACCTGGGACAGTGGTTTTTATAACAGCACAACATTTGAACAAACTGTAAACATTTGTTGCAATTGGCTTAACTCAAAAGACTGCAACAAGGCACAAAAAACAACTAATATGAAAACCATAGACACAAAGCACTGAAATAAGAGTTCTTACAATTTTAAATATTCAAATGAAAGTTTTATCAAAATGTACATAAAAATGATAAAATAGCCATTTTATTGCTGTATTTCTCTTCATTTATAATTTTTGAGTTTTGTGTATTTGTAGGTCAGACATCTTGGTTTTCATGATCATCATTCAACAAGTCAATACTGAACAGAAAACTTAAAGTTGATATTTTTCTACATAGTGTGACTTTTTTATTAATTTGAAATGGAATGTGTTTTTTTCCTACATAAGAAAGAGGAAATTTCATCATAATGACTATAAACAAAAAGGCGTCATATCATCATGATCATAGATGCACAAGAACTTAATCATGTAAATGCAATAACGTAATTATCAATTGAAAGAAGGGAGGAATGAAAAAATATATTAGTATTTTGTTGTCCAAATGAACTTGCTTTGTCCACTCATTTAAATCGCTCCATCCAATAAAGACGTACGGTGGAAGATTTTTGAAGAACAGATTGCAAAAGAGGTTTTGTCTTAGAATTGTAGGAATATTCTAGTGGATGAAATAATTTATTTACTTGACTCTTATATAGTGGACTGAATAATTGTACATAGCAAGCTGAAACAAGAAAAACTAAAACTTAACAGGAAAAGTGTTTATTTTATAAATTTGCAAATATAAACGTAATATTATGAACACCACAAAGGTATAAGATTCAAATCGTTTGCATATTCATGTATTGCAATGGAACTAAAACAAAGAAAACTTTAACTCATGAAAAGAGTAAACTATTAACTGTGCTTTGTCAATTTATTCAGTCAGAATATGAAATATTTTTTTTCAGTTCTATTTTTCATAATAAAACAAACAACACAAAGATTTCAAATCAATATTTTTTTCTTTTATTAAAACATGTCATCATTTTATTTCAGTTAAAGGATTTTATTTTTTGACTTTAAATAGTATTATACTTTCCAAAATAATAATAATCTTTATTGTCATATAAACAAATTAAAAACATGTTTGTGACAAAATGAAAAAAAAACAAAATACACTCATACATGTTATATATATATTATAAACTTTTTACTACCAAACATAATTCATTGTAAAATACACATTACTGTATATTTATAATTTGAATTCCATAGGATTTTATTTTGTCCCATGGGATATTAAAAATCCCATGGGATTTTTTTTGTCCCATGGGACAACAAATATCCCATGGGACTACAATTATCCCATGGGACCCAGAAAAATCCTATGGGATTTAACCAAAATCCCATGGGATAATGGTCAATCCCATGGGATTTGCCTTATCCCATGGGATATTGAAAATCCCATGTTTTTCTAAATCAAATTACAGAATATATATAATAATAACAGTAGAAAAGCAATGAAATTATTGAATCCCATGTAATTCCGCACATTTTGGTTATATACACAACATTGTAGGTCTAAGGAGAGGCGGCGGCGGATTTGCAAATGAGTGTTTTGCAAATTAAAAGTGTCCAGTGTTATAACCATAATCCATTAAAAGAGACAAATTTGAACACTGATCAGAGTTTTGCATAAGGGATAAACATTCCTTAATTTAAATTGATTTCCGAAGTTTTATCAATACACATTTCATAAAAACAATATCCGTATGTTCATACCAATACCTCAGTACTAGGCTACTGGACTGGAGATACCCTCAGAGAAGTACATTCCATAAGCAAATATATTGACACAGTTTTAATAATAACATTAAACGCTACGTATACTGTACTACAATGCTATGCGCACTTCGACAAATAATGTCTCTTTAGTGGAGATCGACACTAAAAATACAAAGCCTATTTCAAACGTCGAAGAGTTGATATACCTGGAAAGAAACTATTTCTGATAAAAGCGCAAAATTTTCTTTCCCTTTAATGTTAATATAATGGTATTCAAGTAGTCCCTTCTTACGGTGTGTACGTATCCCAACTCGTTAGCTATGCTCGTGTCTGTAGTAATGATTCAGATTTCAGTGAACGTAACCTGTATATAACTGGAAAATAATTAAGTCAGGGATTTCGTTATCACAAATGACATTTACTGAATTCTTTCATAGAGATGAAGAATTGTTAGCATGTTTGGTTGTACAAGAAGAGAGGCGAAAGATACCAAAGGGATATTCAAACTGACAACGTCGTTGCAAAAAAAAAAACGACAAAGAATAGAGTACAAAATATAACATAGAAAACTAAAGACTGAGCAACACAATGCCCCTAAAAAATTTGGGTGAACTCAGGTGCTTCGGAAGGGTAAGCAGATCCTGCTCCGCATGTAGCACCCGTCATGTTGCTCGTGCAAGTACAAATACGGTGAGAAGTTTATTTTGGATCGTAGAAATCTTATAACAAATGGGATATCATATTCTCATTTTTACGGTAATGTTGTTTATAAAGCTCATAAATGAATATACAGTTCATATAAACATATCGTTCTTTATTGTAAAATCTTTACATATAGTTTTTATCGGTATACTAAGGGAGCTACCATTTGATTTTTATGGGGGGGGGGGGGGGGGGGGTAGGATGAAAAATTTTGTCCTGCCTTTTTATTTTTCCCTCTATTCGGTCCTGCCTTTTTATTTTTCACTCTATTCGGTCCTGCCTTTTTTTTTTAGTTTATCCTGACTTTTTTTTTTACATAAATTGTCATCCTGCCTTTTTTTTTTGCAAATAATCTCATCCTGCCTTTTTTTTAACTCAAAACTCCTGTCCTGCCTATTTTTTTTAAATTTCATCCTAGCCCCATCCCCCCACCCCCCCCCCCCCCCCATAAAAATCTAATGGTAGCTCCCTAACATTGATTTAATTTTTAATTTGAAATATAACTAAATATGTATTATTATTATAGAGAAGTTTTCATTAAATATTCTTCAAAATTTGAAATATAATGTATACATAGTTTAGTTGCACTTGTCCATAGATAAATGTCCATGTATAAAGTTTTATAGACCATGTACAAATTTAGCCAGTGGGGTTTATGATGTAAGTAAACACTCGATTCAGATTACTAAATGACCATGTTACGTAAACCCCATTACACATGTTACTTTTAAGTGTATTGGGAAGGTTAAGAGTTTAAATAAGGGTAATTCAACGGTCACTTCAAAGATGCAAAATTTTAGTACCGACGTTTATTACTTTATTTGATTAATGGGATAATTTCTCCGGGTACTATATAAACAAGTTTGTTCAGTTGGTGTACTATCTGTGTATTCCAACTGAACAGAACTTTGTGTTTTTATTTTAAAGGTTAGTAATCTTTACACATTTTTTGTAACGATTTAATCATTTAAATTGAGAAAGAATTTGTGATTAAAAGTAAATTTTTAAACTGTAATCTGAAAATAGAAACAATGTGCTCTTTTAATTTTATCAATTTAATGAAAGCTTAATTTGTTCAATGTTATTTGATTTATTTACAACTTTATTGTATTTGTTAATTATTACTATTTTAATTTGTATTTTAATTTGATATTTAGTATTGTACAATAATAAACAAAACGGATCTGTGTATTCCAACTGAACAGAACTTTGTGTTTTTATTTTAAAGGCACCGGACAATTTCAGAAACCCTAGTGGTATGATAAAGTCATAAAAAAAACATGAACAGCATACAAATTACTTGTCAGCCACATACACATACGAGTTTCATCCGACCTCTCACTACACCAAGTCGAGTAAAGTCTCACCCCAACTGACACCAAAACCAAGTATAAAAAGTGGTGGAGGACTTTGGAAAAAAAAAAACCATAAATAAAATACTGCATGTATATGGTCATATAAAGTCACGAATAAGAATAACTAAACGCAATCAGTCATCTTGGTCATAACAACTTGTCTAACCGATATATACAATATCAACGGATATCAACCTTATTCCTTACAACCCACATATGTTGTTTGGAAGCGCAATTTTTTTTTTAAGAATAAAACAGATATTTTTCTTTTATATGCTTCAATTTGTTTGTACATATTCATTTCAATTATTTGTGTTGTTGATTTGTCTTTTTCCTAAAAATTTTGGAGCTCCAAAATTAAATGGAGTGGGGGAGTATTATTATAGAGAAGTTTTCATTAAATATTCTTCAAAATTTGAAATATAATGTATACATAGTTTAGTTGCACTTGTCCATAGATAAATGTCCATGTATAAAGTTTTATAGACCATGTACAAATTTAGCCAGTGGGGTTTATGATGTAAGTAAACACTCGATTCAGATTACTAAATGACCATGTTACGTAAACCCCATTACACATGTTACTTTTAAGTGTATTGGGAAGGTTAAGAGTTTAAATAAGGGTAATTCAACGGTCACTTCAAAGATGCAAAATTTTAGTACCGACGTTTATTACTTTATTTGATTAATGGGATAATTTCTCCGGGTACTATATAAACAAGTTTGTTCAGTTGGTGTACTATCTGTGTATTCCAACTGAACAGAACTTTGTGTTTTTATTTTAAAGGTTAGTAATCTTTACACATTTTTTGTAACGATTTAATCATTTAAATTGAGAAAGAATTTGTGATTAAAAGTAAATTTTTAAACTGTAATCTGAAAATAGAAACAATGTGCTCTTTTAATTTTATCAATTTAATGAAAGCTTAATTTGTTCAATGTTATTTGATTTATTTACAACTTTATTGTATTTGTTAATTATTACTATTTTAATTTGTATTTTAATTTGATATTTAGTATTGTACAATAATAAACAAAACGGATCTGTGTATTCCAACTGAACAGAACTTTGTGTTTTTATTTTAAAGGCACCGGACAATTTCAGAAACCCTAGTGGTATGATAAAGTCATAAAAAAAACATGAACAGCATACAAATTACTTGTCAGCCACATACACATACGAGTTTCATCCGACCTCTCACTACACCAAGTCGAGTAAAGTCTCACCCCAACTGACACCAAAACCAAGTATAAAATAATTGTTACTCAGTGAATAACACGTATTTTTCTACATCGATATTTTTATTTTGTTATTGTACACTATTATGCTTTTCTCAGATTGCTCATTACTTTCACACTAAATCTGTCGGAGTTGTACTGAATCACATTTTAGTCAGGGAGAGCATGTTTTTTTTAATTTCTAATATTTAGAATAGTCTTTTAGATTGGTATAATTGTGTTCTTTTTTATTTGTTTAGTGCTTAGTACCGATCTGATGATAAAATCCCTTTCCAACTGATTTTGACAGTAATACTTATGTTGTATGGTACCCCTGTCCCAGGTTAGTAGAGGGTCGTGCGCTCACAAAATTTAAAACCCCGCCACAATCTGTATGTGCATGTATCAAGCCAGGAGCCTATAATTCAGGGTTTTCATTTGTTGCTGTCTGCGATCTGTTTTTCGTTCATTTTTGTTGTATAAATCAGACTGATATACTTTTCTTTTGAATTGTTTCCCATTTTGTCATACGGTGTCTTTAATAGATTACTATACGGTTTGGTTTTTCTCATTGTTAAAGGTCGTACAGTGACCTGTAATTGTTCAAATCTTTTTTCTTTGGTCTTTCGAGAGTTGTCTCATTGGCTATCATACCACATCTCTTTGTCTTTATAGTAAGAAGAATATTAGTATCATCAGTAGGTCTCATCTATATGTAATTCTTTGATAAATCATGTACAGGTACCACCAAAACATGTGTAGCGGTTGTCGAAATATTAAAAACTACCGTGGAAGTCGATGCTATACTTTAATCGTACTATAAGATGCGAGCACTTTATCGTACAAATGAAGAGCAGCAATAAAAGCGCTGTTTCATTTGATTAATGTTATTTCATCCTATTTCACTATTTCACTATCGATACGGCACT